CGAAATTCGAACAATCTTCACGTTGCATGCAACGAAACGTTTATAAATGATTGGAACGATATTAGTTAAGTGACTGATAAAAATTCACGATCAACACATTGAAACATTTGAAAAATTAGACGAAACTGAAATCAATATTCAGTGAATGGAAAAAGTAGACAAATCAAAATAATGGTGCTCTTACGTGAAGCTGTCTAATTTAGCATAAGAGATGAAGAATTTGAGAACTACACTGGAAATTTTTTACAGTGAAAACGGAACGCACCGATTCTTATCAATAACATTTTAAGAGAAGTTTCGAGCTAGTTGAATGAATGCATCATAAAGCAGTAATGAAAATATGATAATATTCCAAGAACACTATCAATAGATCATGACATAAGAAGAAAAGTTGATAACAACATAAAATGTGATCGTTCATAAGCAGCAGCAGCAACAGCCTTGATTATCTTCGAAAGGCGCGCATAAAACACAGATGAAAATATACGTGTTAGTAACGATAATATAACCATATGAATGCGATTATCTAAATAATGATATGTTGACATGAAAAANAAAAATATCAAATCAGTCGTGGTTTTAAGATGTCGTATGGAAAAATGATCAAAGCGATGAATTTATAACAAAAGAGAACATTTCGAATTTACACAATATATTATCATTTTACAAATTAGCAATGAAAATCACTTAAGCTGTTGATCGGAATTGAGAAAATAACGGAACTATTGAACAATCGACTCAATCAAACATACAACTCAGAGTACTTTTATTGCATTGATTCAAAATCCCGATATACTGAATTTTATTAGGAGATAAAGACAACATGAAAAAACAAATTTTCTCCCATAGCATATGAGCATAACAGTCGCATTTAAAAACAGGAAGAACGCTGCTTAGTAAATTGCACAGAATGAGAAAAAGCGAAAAGCAACATGAGCACATATGCGAAGAAGATTTCTTTAACCGTCTTTGAGAAGAGGCAGTATTCTTATGTAAAGCAGAAATAATGAACTGTTTGATTGCTAAACCATTCGAAGTCAAAACAAAGAGAAGCTGATCACAATGTTACGATCATTTAAAAGGTACAAAGTATAATAGTAACGCTTATTTTGGGTTGTGACAGCAAGAATGAACATTTAAATTAAAATAGCGCTCAATGTCAAGATGAAAAATTCAGGATGGAAAATCAATCATAAGAAAGAAGCGTACAAAAATTCGAAAAGTGATATTTCAAATATAAAAGAATGAAGTTGATCAGTAACGAGGAAAATAAGAGAAATATGATCAAAAGAAGAGCTTTCTATAGGACGCATCTGTGACTGTTCTTTTTTCAGTTGGCATCGTCTTTATCTTTAGTACCGTGTTTCAGCATTCGAGTGAATTCGATGTAATCGAATCGTCCATTTTTGATGGGTGCATCACGGAACAGTTCATCCACCTAATAATATGATAAAATTTCAAATCAATTCCAAATCCTCATCAAACGAAAACATTCAGGCTCACTCTAAATTT